CGGTGAGGTCGAGGGCTGAATCCCCCAGCCCCGTGAGGACTCCTCGGGAGCCTGGGGTCGTAACGCAGGGCCGGGATCAGTCTCGCTTTTGGCCCCGGCGGGCCGGTGAGGTCGAGGGCTGAATCCCCCAGCCCCGTGAGGACTCCTCGGGAGCCTGGGGTCGTAACGCAGGGCCGGGATCAGTCTCGCTTTTGGCCCCGGCGGGCAGCCGCAGCTTAGGGACGGGTGTCCCTAAATAGGGACAGTTAGTCTCTAAACGTTTTGCCCCTTTATGTGCGCACTGGAGCACTCTGGAGTTGCTGGGTGTAATGGGATGTCAAGTTACTGCTAATGGTGTTTATGCAGCGACCGACAGGCAGAAGAGAAGCAAAGTTTGTGTGGAATAGACGATTGCTTAGTTTAATTAAAAAATACTAATAAGTAGTGATTGCAGCTTTGTGCTTTGCTGGTGGCTACTGTATTTCTGACAGTGACTTTGGGGATTTGGGGATAGGCTGATGCATAAATATTGTGTCACTATATGTACACACTGCTGTTCGAAGAGTTTGATGTAGATGGACTGGAAAACAGGAATTTGGATTATGTGGCTCTAACGTGCAGATATTTGTTGTTTATATAGAGCAATTTGGGGATACAGATACCGGTCAACTGAGTTGTGATTAATGAGTTGCTAAGCTGTTAACGCATCTTATTGAATGATCGTATTTTTGTAGAAGACCATCTGAGTAATCTTTGTCCCAAACTAAGGAGTGACAAGTCTGGTTAGCAATCTAATGAGGAGAATAAGGTGTTGGGATCCTGTTCATAGAAACACCTGCCATAAGGGTGTAGGGATAACAGAGCCATATCGAACAAGTTTCAGAAAACTGAGGCCAACAATCTGGATTCCTTCTGACCTGCACTAGGGGATTTGTGGTACAGGAAGGGTTTGTCTCACCAAGAAATTACTCGACTACGATGAGGAAACCTGACCTCAGGAGAGCTTCTGGTAGCTGCCATATTGAAAAAACAATTTGTGCATAAAAAATATTATTTGAAGTGACTTTATAGGCTTAACTTGCTTGACTGTTGTGCCCTCTTGTTTTCAAATGTGTGTGCTTCTTGGAGCATCAATGCATGCTACGTACTAGTGTGGTCCCTGACTTGAATTGTAAGTCCATGTTTTATATGTGTATGTAAGTTGTGTCTTGCAGATTCTTGAAGGTTCATATTGGGATATATGAAGCTAAATGTAAATACATGAAATTTAAAATAACATAATGGGATGAATATGGTAATACATGGTAATATAATGGATTAATATGGTAATTACGTGAGAAGATTTACATTTGAACGTAAACAGTACGTATTTTTCTAATTGGTCTAATAAAAAGATGTTCTTTTCCTATTTCTTTTGCTATCTTCAGAGTATTTTGTGAACTAAGGACTTGGCCCCTTGCTACTTATGCTCAGACCTGCTCAAAGCTTACTCAGTGCAATGCAACAGTCAATTAATCAAATTTACATAATCACTAATAAATTTTTCTGTAGTCATTAGTAAGTTGGTCTGTTTCCATGGTCATGTTAATTTGGCTTCAAGGTAGTGTGACTGTCTGAAAAGGGGTATGTGGGACATCCCTCCAAATCTTGACCATTATTTCCCTTCTCTTCTTTGTCCTGGTACTGGTGTTCTGTGGGCTGCAAAGCCAAGCAGTGAATTGAATTGACTGAGACTACTGAGCAAGAATCTGATCAAGCTTAAAAGATGGCTATGCAAATCCTCATGGCAACACAAAGGATGAGATGAGAATGAATTTTAATAGTGTGGTGGAGATTTGGGTTATCTCTTCTGGTGATGTCAAATTAAATGGCCTTTAATGTTAGGAGGCTTGGCTTTTTTATTTTACTGTAAAACAGGAATGTCCACAGGTGGTGATTGTCCATGATGTTCTTCAACTAGGCTCATGGCTAAGAGCTCTTTAGCTCTTTATATGAATAAATAATCACTACAGCTGGAGTTTCGCTTTATCAAAAAAAAAAAAAAAAATGAGTGGAGGAGTTTAAGCTTAGTCCTGTAGTTAATAAGTAACAAGTTTTGAGAGTATATTTTTTTTAGTCTCTCTGTTATTCCCTACAAACCTTAGTAAGAGTGATTAGATTGCATGCTCTAGCAATTTATATAGTAGCTGTCTTAACAAGATGAAACCATACATATTGTGAGCAGAGTGCTTTTGTCTTCTGCAGGAGAATATGAGAATTGGCTAGTTTGGTTCTGGTCTATCTTCCTGAACAATCCGTGCGTTATGTTTGAATCTTCTGTGGTACTTAGCCAGTCCAGTGAGGAGGTCTGCCTGCCTGGCTTATGACACAGATTGTTTTCCTGATGTTCAGCAATTATTTTTCCTCAATTAAACCACTGTCTTCTTACATGATCGTTAATAACAAGTTTGAAAGACGTAAGAATTCAGACAATTTTGTTAAATAACTGAATGGAGTTTCTTCTTATCAGATTCTTATGATCAAGTCTGTCTTTGAAATGTGAAGCTTTGTCAGAACCTATTTCCTAAGTGTTAATATCTTTCTCTGTGCACAGTGTAGCTAACAAATTTCATCAAACTTTCTCAAGAAGCTTGGTTTTTTTTTGGAGGAGTGTGATAATGTCTTTTCACTCAGAGATAGGAATAATGTTTAAGGTTTTTCTAGTACTCTTAGAACCCAATTATTTACCTTTTTGAAAATAAGAGGTAAAGATTTTAGTGCTGAAGTTCAGATATTCCCACCCCCCCCCGCCCAATGGTCTGAGAAAAAGCTGCAAACTTTGTTCTAGCTTGGAATTATAGAAGAAAAGCAGGAACTCAGCTGCTTTTTGTATGCTAGAACGGCAGGTTTGTATTTACGTTGCAGAAAAAGCTTAAAGTATTGCATTGAATGACCCCTTGTTTCTTCACTAACGGCATAGAATGGTGAACAATGTACGCTAAAGGCAAAATATCAGTTTAAAGAATTATTCTGAAGGTATGGCAGCAAAACAAAATTACGGCGCTTGTCCCTGCTGTTCATTACTTCTGTTGAACAGGTGTGTGGAAGTTGCTCTGCAAGCAGCGTTGTGAGTTTTTACATGTGTTCTTAAAACTTTACAACCTTTCTTTTATGGGAAATAAACATTCTGTTGTGTAAGGTGGTTTTCATAAGTAGTTCAAAACTATTTAAATTTTGTGCAGAGGGACAATAATCTAATACATAGTAAAGCAGTGTCTTTAAACAAATGTGGTATCACTTAGGTGTTGTCAGTAGCTGTCCCAGTCATGGTATTCAGTCAGTCTGCCTTTCATTAGCCTTTCTCAATTGCCTTGAATAATCTGGAATATTTATTAGCATGTGTGCTCTATTGTGGAGTGTTCTGATTTTAGTTATGTGACTATATTTAAAACTATAGGAGTTCAGGGGAAGCTTCTCCACATGCAGCAATTCACTTTGAAAATAGGAAAATAAAGGTACAGTGATTCTGAGAGAAGATGCAGTTTTAAAGTGAACGCTTTTGCCTTTAGGTATCTCAGCAGGAGGACTTGCAAGTATGGAAGCTTTTGTTCCGCCTCCCTCTTCTCCCCAGGTTGTTTCCAGAAATCTAATCTCCATGTTGATAAGTCTAATAACGAGAATTCTAATGTTGAACACTGTTTTAGTGCCACTGCTTGATTATGTCTGAAATTATTTCTGTGTGAGTAACTAAAGACTGGTTTGAAAACTGCTTTGATATTTTGCTAAATAAATCTACAAGAAGATCTGTTTTTTTGTGTAGTAGATGCTTCCAAATGATGCCAAATAGCATATAAGTTTATCTATTGCACACTGGCTTCATTTAGATCAGGAGTTTAAAAGAAAAAAAACCCTTAAATTGCTTGTCATATGAGCACTGAAATGCCGGTCTTCTAACAGATTCTTTGTGCTGCAAACCCACTGCCAAAGTATTTCCTATAAACGCTAACTTTTAACTTTCCTTGTTATATCTGTCTAGGCTTTGCAGATCAGGTATGGCAGAATAAGTGTGTCACCTAATTCGTATAAATAAAATTTTCATATATTTCAGTAATATTTTTTCTGAGCTCTTGATTGAAAAACTATTTCTGTTCACTTTACATAGCAAAGTTAATATTGTTTGAAAGTTTAATTTACAGAAGGTGCAATTACCAATTTCCAGGTTGGACCATTAAAATAGTTCACATAATGTCTGTATAATGCTAGAGGTTTGTGTTATAGGTACCTTATTACACAGGGGTGCTTTTGGCTGGCAGTTTTCAGTCCAGGTTGGAGCAGTTCCTTGGCTGCTGAAATTTTTGCTGCTTCTGTACCAGCAGAGCAGTGTTCTGTATTAAACGGAATACTGCCCTACCACTTCTTCTCATGTAAAGAGGTTAAGTAAGTGATGAGCTGGGAAAAAATGGACGGAACCTCCTGACAGTGGAGAATTTCTTGTTCTGGAGAAATTAATGTCAATGCTCCTTTGCACTGGAAAGGGGCAGAAGTCCTTGAACTTGTCTGTGGTCCATTTGATGATAAGGCAGGGATGAATTTGCTGTTCGTTAAAAGTCTGGCTGTTGTAGTCACTGAACACTGACTGTATTTGCTAGTAAGCAAAAAGTTCGTTCTCATTCTCTGATATTTGTGTTTACATTGTATTATAAAACCCTTTCAATTAAAATCAGATTTGATTTCTGTTAGATCAGTTGTTTGTATGATCATTTCTAGAGTACTTTTATGCCTTAATTATACTAAATTTAAACTATTCTTACAAGAGTCTTGCAGTAAGGAATGTCTTGGGACTTTATTAAGACCTGAACTGAGTGGTACTTTGTTTTCCTGAGAACACCTTTCAGGAATTTGGAAGGAGCTTAATATCCAAATCCTCTGTCTCAAACAATGAACCTCTAAAAAATCCCCGTGCCTAAAGAGTTTGAGTCCTTGATTTATTTTTTTTTTTTCTTCTCTCTCTTTTAAAGGTGCATTTGAACTTCTTACTGTTTCTCCATCGGCTAGCAGAAGAAGCCAGGACAAATGCTTTTGAGAACAAAAGTAAAATAATTAAACCTGAGCACACTATAGCTGCAGCAAAGGTAATAAAGCATTTTTGTTGTTTTTCTTCTTTGTTTAATGAAAAATGTATTATGACAGCATATACAAAAGTTTTCTGTGTTAGTGTTGGTATGTTTTTATTTATCCAAAACCTGCAGAAACATAATGTTCTCTGATCCATCATTGGCATAATTTACTGTTAGCAAGACATCAAGTTAACTCTCCTTGCCCTGTTAAATACAGCCCTATTTTTTCTTGATTATTCCATGTTTAAATTCATAGTTTCAATATGTGGATAAGTATATACAGCAGTCTACCGGCAAGAACCCATGGGCTGAAAGCCCAGGGAACGGGAGCAAATTCGAAAGTTGAAGGATCTTTGTTTCAGATGATACTGTGTCAGGGAAGCATGCTGTCTTATCTACAGTAGTATAAATGAGGCTTCATGGAACGAGTGAGAAATAGTTCAAAGAGGTTCAGATATTTTTCTTACACCTTCAGTTCTTACCTGCTCAGTCTGAAAGATGTTTGAAGTAGATTTTTCACAGCACTGTGCAGATTCTACTTGAACAAACAGATACTTTGTGTGATCTTGTGTTCGGCAAGGGAAGAACTAAGGGAGGATTAAACTGTGGGTTGCTGTATGGGTAGTTCGGCATAACAGAGGTTGCTGCGTGAGTATCTGTGAAGCAGGAACACTTTATGTTACAGAGCACGGTGAGTTTTGTGTCCGTGCAAGAGAAGGGAAAGGGAATGATGTTGCGCAGCTTCCTCTCTCTGGAAAGAGTTAAAGAAGTGTCGAAGTGTGACTGAAATCCTTTTGTATTCTGTAGCTCATTTCACTCGCTAGGATGTCTCTGCTTTACCTAGGTTTCATGAAGGAACTCGGTCTCTTTAGTTTGTTGAGTTTATCTGTTCAACCATCTACTACTGCTGGGCAAATTAGGCAAAACTCAGTGCTATCTGATATATGGGTCCTGTGGCTTCTGTTTATCTGCAGTACTTTTTTTCCCCTCTGGTGAAATGTTTAGTTTGATACTTTCTATTGCTATAGTAACAGAAATACATACAGGATGTGTAGGGTAGCCAAGTGAATGTTACAGTTGGAATCTTACGCATTTGTAATTTCTTTTTAACTGCAATCTTAACATTATTTGAACATTTTTGTGCTCCATTTATTTATTTTTTTTAAGATGAGAAGAAAGGAAAAATTGCCGTTATTTTAATAATGTTAACACTTAAATGGTCCCACTTGGGCTTTGAAGTTCATTTTTCAACTTAAACTCCAAACCAAAAAATGTCCTTCCAAAGGTCTGGGCCCTCTTGATATAGAGAGAAATAAGGCATTGCAAACAAAAATTGAGCATAGTAGCTGTATAATTGCAAATTTATTTTTTCTTTTTGTCTAAGCTGGAGTAAGAGCTTCAAGGAATCTGCTGAGGGCTTGAGAGCGCTATTGGCATTTCTCAGCATTCATTTTTAAAATAAGCCTTTTATTTTACAGAAATCTTGGTTATGAATGTTCTTATTAAAAAAATAATTCTGTTACGGAATTTTTCTATATGCTTTTGCTTTATTTCTAACCTTTTCCCTAGACTTTCACCCTTGGTGACTCTACTCCTGGAAACAGATTGTTTGGCTAGGGGACCTTTGGTCTGAGTAGCCTAGCATTTTGGATATCTTGCTGCTGCCTGGATTGTAGTGATAAAAGCAGTGATAAATATACTTTTTTCTTTTTGCAGGTTATTTTAAAGAAAAGCAGAGGCTAGAAAACAGACCACTGGAATTTCAAAGCATGTTTTTCTGTGTTTTCTTACTAACGTGAAATTCTGTGAGCCAGCTTTTGCACTTGTGGAAGTATTTATTTTTACTGATGTCTGTCTCCTGACTCTGAATATCTTGTTGTTTCTTAAAAAAAAAAAAAAAAAAAAAGAATTTTAGCAAGTATATTTTCATACACTTCATGCGTAATTTTAAAATGCGTGTCACTTGTCATTTACAACTTTTGATGTACCTTATTTCTTCCATAATAATGGAGGAATGCCTATATCATAGTCACTCTTTGGGTACGATGTGGCATTTATTATAAGAAGTGTGAAACTTTTTAAAGGAGAACAATAGTAAAAATGCAGGTTTCACTAAGTCCATTACAGATTATGCAGTTCAAAGCAGATTTACTAGCTAAACAAGATCCTGGCTTTCAGAACAATCGCTGTAGAAACTAGTGTATTAAATATCTTGCCTTTAATTTATTTGTAAATGTCTCAATATTTTTTAAATGACTGAAAAGTAGGCTAAAACTTCAGTGTTCTGGGAAAGGATACCTATTTTGTATTTCTAAATCATTCTCTGAGCTGTTAAGCTGGCCTGTTGTTTGATGTGGTATATGACACAAGTTGGTGGTCTCCCATTCAGTTGATGGACAGATGCACGTTATGGAAAAGAAAAGATCCGGCACAGCTGATGCTTTTTGGGTTAGATCCTGTACAAGTAGTGACGATA